ATTTTCTAATTTAAGTATAGTCGCTTTTTTTTTAATAGCTTCCATTATTTTTTCAAAATATAGTTATCTTCTTTTCCAGTTCACAGGGAATTATAGAGCAAAAAATGTGTTCTTCAGAGAAGAATGAAAAATACACAGTGACTTTTGCAACACCCTCAGCTTCATTTATCTATAGGATGGCTCGTGATAGCTTTGTGTGAGCTTTTGAAAGTTCAGCCAAGCCAGCTGCAGTGATCAGCACGGAGACAATAGCTCCCACACACGGGGCTACATGGATTAAAGAACCCGATCCATCAGTAAATCTGCCAGATGGCAGTGGAAGAAAGCTTGTAACTCTCTCACTTTCATTTCAACAGCAGCAAACAATGTTCCCTGTTTAAAATAAACTCTTCCAGATGAGCTAAAGATAAACTCTGAGGTGGGTGGACTTGAGCTTGCTAGGCTGCAGCTCTGAAGTGTTTGATTACATTAACACAAAATCCCTGGGTAGAACCTGCTTCTGTCAACAGAATGCTGAGACTCGAACACCTACTACACGAAGCCATTTCCTGTGCTTTCATGGGTTGGTGGCAGAAACTCACTTGGTTTTTTCACTGAACTAATAATGATTGTGTGTGTATATATACGCACATATATCCCTGTTCAGCATTTCCTCAAAGCATGTGTACAACTCCTAGATATACCTAAAATGCCAACACTGTGTGTAGGGCTGCACAGATAAAACTGTTTTGAATATATTTACAGCTGAAACTTCTATTTACTCACTCATTACTGCTCCCTTAGCAGCAAAAAAGATGCCATTAGGATTTAGTCTTTCTGCTAATGACTGGATAACTATTCAATCTATGGGCTATACAAAAAACAAAAACGGGAAGAAAAACAAAAGTAGAAGTATTTTTTCAAGTTAGCATTTACAAAGGAAGCTTGAAAACACATTTTAAGACCTGCAACTTAAGACAGATCAAGCTGTGATACATCATGTGTGACTTGACAACTTCTGAAGATACAATGACATACTGAAAAATAATTCTATTACAAGTGTTCAAGAATTTATTGGTTTAATGCAATCTGTAGGAGCTTTAAATGAGAGAGAGAAGCAAACAGTTGATGCTGAAAGTAAGTCTTCAGTTCAGTTCAGTTCAGTTGCTCAGTCATGTCTGACTCTTTACGATCCCATGAACCGCAGCACGCCAGGCCTCCCTGTCCATCACCAACTCCCGGAGTCCACCCAAACCCACGTCCATCGGTGATGCCATCCAACCATCTCATCCTCTGTCGTCCCCTTTTCCTCCTGCCCTCAATCTTTCCCAGCATCAGGGTCTTTTCAAATGAATCAGCTCTTCGCATCAGGTGGCCAAAGTATTGGAGTTTCAGCTTCAAAATCATTCCTACCAATGAACACCCAGGACGGAGGTTACAAAAACCATTTAGGACCAAATATATAAAATAAATATATTGGGACATTAAAAAATAAAAAATATTCCCAAATTTAGACTAGAAGGATTTGGGAAAATGTGATACAGATACATTCATAACCAGTTCCTCCAAACTGAAATTTTTCTGAAGTGTCATTGATAGCTCTATTTTATACAACAGAAGTCTTCTTATTTGAACTTGGTGGGTCACAAGAAAAGTTGATTAAAGAAGGAAATTGTAAAAATGAATAATATGCACTGCAACATTATTATTTGAAGTAAAAGCATTTAACATGTTCATTCATTTCCCAACTTCTGATATAAAGCTAAGGGTTTGTTTTCACTGTTTTTCTGAGTATGAACTCACTTGGAATTCCATCTTCTAATATTCACGTAAATAGGGTAGTCTATGATTTCCAGCTTTTGTGTCTCTAGAATGGAGTGAATGTTTAAAGCCACTTGCAAAGACTGAATATGGACAACTTTTAGATTTTTGTAATATTTATTTTTAAGTATTTGACAGTTGTTTTGAGACTTTATCCGACAGTAAGTTTCTATTGATTCACCTTCATTTAGCTTTTACAAAGCACTCAGCTTTCTTTTCATAAAATTTCATTTTCTCTTTGTGTTTATATTTCGTCAGTTTGCATTATGATTAATAACTTCTAGGGTGATTAATAAGAGGCATAGTTAACACACACATGAGGTTTGGTTTGGTTTCCTTCACTGCCTCCTAGGTCCCCCGAGCCTTAGAATAATGCCTGACATAATCTAGGTATTCAATAAACATTTATTAAACAAGTAAATGAATGGTACAAAATGTACCCTTCCTAAATGTATCACAGAACAGGTGAGGGCAGAAGTGCCAGTGATATGCTAGAGGGAGCCTGCCAGCCTAGTGCATCCCCATGTTGTGGGCATCAGTCACCATGTTTTACAAAAAAACCAGAGAACTGGTTATTATAGCCAGTCTGTTAGACATGATGGCTGGCTAGGAGTGCTTCTACTGTACTTTGATTAAAAATCTAGTGTAGCAAAAACTCTTTCTTTGTATAACACTGAGGGCTCCCTCTAACTTTCCTTTAGGAATATTCTTTATTCCTCCATGTTAACCTGTAACTAACTTAACTCCCTGCTGTCCAGAGAAGGTTTGGGAAACATGTGAAGCTCCTTCTGTGGGGCCAAGCTCCTGAAGAGTGATTAGGAACATATCTTCACTGCAGTGTTCCTTAGCACATTTGGAATCAATTAAATATTTAAATACAGGTTCTCTTAGATCTCAGGCCAGGCCCAGCAGGTTTGTCAGAGAGGGAGCTGAAGTCAGATAACTGCTATTCTTCACACCAGAATCTGGAGCTGCAGAGAGATTTGAAAAATACACTCTCCACTTCCTGGGTCTGCAAGCAAACAGTCAAATGAGATGAGAATGATTAAGAGAAACAACATGAGCCTTACTCGGAAGTAGGAGTAACAGTGTACTTGAGAGCTGCTGCCTTATACCATGTCTTAAAAACAAATAGGATATATTTGGATGCTGCCTAAGTACAATAGTGTGGCCTGTGTGATCCAAGAATGTTTTTATATTTTTTAAGGATTGTCAAAAAAAGAATATGTAGCAGAAAAAGAATATGTATCTGTGGCTTAATAACCATAAGTATTTACAATCCAGCCTTTTTTAAGAAGTTGTTTTAAGTTATGTTTTAAAAGTATTTATGTTGACTGTGCTTAGTCTTCGTTGCAGCTTGGTCTTCTCTAGTTGCTGTGGGTGGGCTGAGTCGCAGTATGTGGGCTCTTAATTCCCCAACCGAGGATCAAACCCGGGACCCCTGCATTGGGAGTGTGGAGTCTTATTCATTGCACCACCAGGGAAGTACCCAACCTAGGCTTTTTTAAAAAAAGTTTGCCGACTCTTGATTTAGAGTTTTTTCCCATTATGTGTACTCAACTAATTACTGTTAACAGTATGGGGACGACCGAGGATGAGATGGTTCAATGGCATCACCGACTTGGTGGACATGAGTTTGAACAAGTTCCAGGAGTTGGTGATGGACAGGGAAGCCTGGTGTGCTGCAGTCCATGTGGTCGCAAAGAGTCAGACCCAACTGAGCGACTGAACTGAACTGATTAACAGTACAGTGATAAGGTACGTTGGGAAGAGGAAATGAACATGTGGCAGGCATTTTGTTAAACTCTTTACTCTGTTGGTTTCTTCACTGAACAATCCTCCGAAATAGGCATTCATATCTCAATGACAGAGCCAAGAAAACAGAAGCTCAGAGAGGTTAAGTAACTTGGAAAGGTCACAGAGTTGTTCATTAAACCCAATGTGGTGGTATATTTAAATAGTGGGGTCACTGTCCTAATTAAATACTACTTAGAATCCCACTGTATAAAATAGTTACTCGGAGCAAAGCTGAGGCAGAAGACCCAGAAGTTTCACCTTTTCAGAATAACCTGCTTGAAATAGACATCAACATTTCAAAAGATTAAGTCAATAACCAATGGATTTCCAAATCAATTATTCCATTGTATGGCATGTTACACGCTTATCTCAACAATAGTTTGCTAAGGGTGAGAGTATCACAGTAACAAAACTGCCTTTTTCTTATTTCCTTGTCCAGTGAAATTGAAGTAAGTCAGCAGAAAGGGGAAAGGAAAGCAAAAGGTTTAAATAATCTTCAAAATCTAACTAGTTCTACTATAGTGATTAGTCCTCAAGTCCACTGAGCACCGCGGGAAGGACATCTTCCAAATGGCAGCTCATTTGACCTGAAGAGTTGGTGTTTCCAGACAAGTTTCTAGTTTTCCATGATAAGTTAATATATCCAATTTTATTATGGTGCCAAAAACAAGTACTCTGAAAGGCTCAACTCTTACAAAAGGCCCAAATCCCCTGAAAAGCATCAGGTATCAAAATACAGCCAGAAAAGATGGTATTAAATGGAAAAAAAAAAGGCAACTTTTTAATGAAGTCAAGGTGTAGGACAGATTTATTAGCTTCCATTTTTCCAGGTTGCATTCTGATGTATTTCCTGCCCGTATTTCTAAATTCAGCAGGTAATTTTTAGGGTTATCCTTAAAAAATACATTTCAAAGAACATGATGCAGCTATAACGACTACACCTGCAGACACACCTGTGATGATACAAACACTCAGTGCTTCTCATATTCACCACCCAGCACCCTAAGAGGAAAGAGACCTTCTATACCATCTGCCAAGATGCTGCCTTTCTTAAAAAGAACTAATACTGGTAACCAGATATTACAGTCAGGACTGCTCCTGGTCAAAATGGTCATTAAATTCTGTGTAGTTCAGTCTATTCTTCACTGTCATAATTCACTTTTCCAATATTATGAGATGCTTAAAACAAACAGTTAAAATTATTTTTCATGCCTATAATATTCCTACTTAAGTTTAATACTCATACATAATTCATTATTCAATATGCACTGTGTATCAGGTACAATACTTGGTTCTTGAGGAAATAAATCTAGTAAGAATATATTTCCTTGGATAATTCCTATCCCAACTGCCTAATTGGAGTTGTGAACAAATAATTAGTGTACTAAATTGCTAGTTAAATTTCAAGTACTCAGTAAGCTCATGTGTCTAGAGTCTGTCATACTGGAACGTGTAGACAGAATTATTTCCGTCACTGCAGAAAATTCTACTGGACAGCCCTGAGTGAAGAGTACAAGGCAAGCCTGTGGCCAGTTCAGGGAGAGTCTCAAAAGTATATCAAAAAGTTTAACTGGAAATTGTTTATAAACTACTGAATTCCACAAATTTCTTTCAGGAAAAGCCTTTGAGAACTCCACTTTCAAAGTATTGCTATAATCTGGTTTACCCATGCAGCTTCTATATTTGAATAATACTTCACATTTTAGAAATACTTCAAATTTTAATATTTTAGAAATAGTACTTCTTAAAGCAATGCACAAAATGCTATGGGAAGAACATACACTAGGCATACCATTGGTAGAGGCTAATGATATGATAAAGGACTATCTTTAGTGAAGCTTCTAAAGAAACACACAATTAAGAATCTGTATCAATAAATGTATTCCAAGTAAGAATAGTGCATTCACACCAGGCATATTATTTCCCCACAAAAGCCAGTATCATCATTAAAATATTTAACACTAAATAAACCGTAAAACTCACAGGTATGTGAAAAACTTCTCAAGGTATCTATTTCAAGTCATTAAGTTCTTTAATATTTGTAATCCATGCATAAACATATCACTCATAATTACTGATATGCTTACTATATATATTTAAAACATCTTTTGGGAAATTTTATGCTCTCTAAATAATAACTTCTTAGTAGCTTAAAAATACCTCTATGAACCTCTTAGCAGTACTACTGTAAACCAAAATTGTATTTTCAAGTAGCAAGGATCCAAGACACACCATTCCTGATTAAAGACAGAGCTGACATCCAGTTTTACAAATAGGTCTTGTCCATTCCTTGTCCCTATTTTTTTTTCCCCTTGTCCCTATTTTAATATGCCAACCATTACTTCACTGATATCCCAAAGTTTTCTTGCAACAGATTCATCCATAGCTTTGGGCAACAGTTCTTCCTCTTTACAGTCCCCAAAGTACCTCCCTGAAACACCTTCTACCTCAGGTGAAGAGGCTAAATAAATTGAAGTCTGGGCCCCCTCTTCTGGAGTTTTGAAGAAAGCCCATGACACTAAATTGAAAAGTGGTCTGACCAACAGTGGGATGTGTACGTGCCTCCCGAGGTTAGTCCGCACTATGCCAGGGTGTAACACATTCACGGTCACGTTGGTGCCTTCTAAGCGGCGGGCTAGTTCTCTGGTAAAAAGAATGTTAGCCAGTTTGCTCCGACTGTAACAGAAGCTTTTATTATAGCTCTGTTCACTGTTCAAGTCTTCAAAGTTGATGTCTCCGTATTTGTAAAGTTTAGAGGAAACAACCACAATTCGGCTGGGAGCTGAACTTTTGAGGAGTCCAAGGAGAAGGTTGGTGAGTAGGAAGTGTCCCAGATGGTTCACACCAAACTGCATCTCAAATCCATCTTCAGTCTTCATATAAGGGCACTGGAAGACCCCGGCGTTATTGATCAAAACATCCAGTCTAGGCTCTTCCTTCAAATGGTAAAAAGAGAATGGCAGAATTAGGAACACAGGCCTTAAATGTGCCTGAAATGAAATTTAAAAAAAAAAATTTCCACAAACTACTAAAATTCTAAAAAATGCCTCTATGAGTTTTCAACAACTCAGAGAAAAAATGATGATGACAACTTGAATGCTTACGAGGCGCCTGACCTGTGCTTTTCATTTATCGCCATCTACTCTTAACAACCCTATAAGCAAACTGAAGCACTAAAGTTAGGTGATCTGTCCAGTATCACAGGGTTCCTCAGTGGCAAACAAAAATCTGAAGATGAGATTGACACTGATGACCCTATTCTTAACTGGTAAGCAGGACTGCTTTTCTAATTGAGATTTTTAAACCAAAGCGAGACAACCAACGTGAGCTCGAGAGTGGAACTAGAGCAGAAGACAGGTCAGCACTGTTCACTCCCAGGGCTCCTCGTATCAACACCAGGGGTAAGTCAGGATTGCTTTACTCTGTAGTTTTCTAAAGGTAAAAGGCACCATGAAGATGGAGCAACTTCAAGTTGTTTCCTTACAACTGGGCCAAGCAATAGTGCGCATCAGGGATACAAATTAAGACTGGAGAGAACATCATGAATAAATCAAAGAAACATTAAGACAAAAATTACAGTTATACAAGTATACAAATATCAGAAACACCACCATGAATCAGATATACCAGGTCTCACAATAACAGCAAAGGAGACTAACAGGAGGTAAGCCCAACAAGCACCTTTGACCTCTATTACGATTTTAGAATTCAGTTCTTTTTTTCCTATATGAAAACCTTTCAAGCTTCAAAGGTCCCCCAACTTAGGTGATCTATACAGTTAGAGTTCTGCAGTTTGATCATATCCTTCTGCATCCTCTAGATTAAAGTCCTAAAATTTAGACTGTCCTAAAAAGAGTCTTTTCATTCCTTACTTAATGTAAGGTGGCTTTCCCTCATCCTTTCCTGGTTCCTCTGTCTCTTTTGATAGGCAAAGGAAAAAAGAAAAAAAAGAAACGTACAACATGTTCCAGGTGTAAAGACACAGTGATGACCCACAATTATATAAATCTGAGGTCAATTTTCAAATATTACTGGTCCTTTTGCCAAACATAAGTGAAAAGAAAAATGTGTTAAATTTCACAACTGTTATCAGAGCCTACCTGTCAGAGGATTAACTATTTCTCATTCTGTCTGTCTCAGCACCTTTTGCTTTTCCAATAGTCGACTTCAAAAAGAAGGCAAAAGTTCACCCGTGGGGGAAAGAAAGGAGTGTTCTTCTCAGTAATCCTTTGGAAGAGTTTCCTGTATTAATCATTTCTGAGCCATCATTCTTTGCTGGGCTTGTGTATTTTAAGACTTTATCATTTACTGTTTTTTAGGTTCTAGAAGATAAATGAGATAAATACCAAGAATACCAACTTGTGGGAAATTTACACTTCCTTTTTATGAATTCTGATTATAGTCACTGAACTACTGAACTTCAGAGCCAGGAAGGAACTAAATACATACTTAGCAGGAAGGACAATGTTATCTGTTTATCTCCTTAACTTTTAATTGGTTCTGTCAAGTGCCTTTACTTTTCAAAGTAATAAAAAAACATAGTATCAAGGAATAAGTATACACTGCTGCCCCATCTACATCTTTAATGAATGGGAAGGTCCACTTTTGATCCTTCCAACATCTCTTATAAACTATTACTTCTTATTTTCTAAACCTGTTTTACCTGATAATGAAATACTAGTCCTAAAAACAAAATGAAACAAACCTCTTTAGATCTGTAACAGCTCCCCAGCTGTGCATCAAAGAACCCTAAGAGTCACAAGGAACTCTAGGATGATCTGGAGTGTTTTAAAATTTCAAGGCAAACAATATGTTGCTCAACATCTCAAAAATTACAGTATCCAAGCAGAGCACAGTTTCAACATTTTATATTGAACACATTCAATATAATATATTCTATATTCCTTTCGATGATGTTCCTCTCTTTGCAAAGGTGAGTGTTTAGCAGTTGTAATAAATACAAGTACAATGTTAAAAATCAGCAGAGAACAGAAATGAGGGTGGCAAAGTCCAATCTGATTCTGACAAGCTTGTACAGTGAACAAGAGATGCATATTTCCCAATAGTATACTTATGGTTATAAAAAAAGGAAATAAAAATCTTTTCTTTCAGCTATGTGTATTTTTTTTTTCCAAACAGCTACTGTTACAGAAATAAATAGGTTGTTTGGACCTAGTTACTTAATAAATAAACTAGGTATTTTTTTTTGACCCAAGGGCATCATGAAAAAATTAGAAAGTATGGAGCTTCTGTTCTAGACCCAGGAGACTTCTTTTCATATGGGTTCTTTTTTTATGCCAGCTAATTTTAGACATCACTCTTCTGAAGACCTCTGGCAAGTCACCTCTGCAGGAAACCCTTCTACCACAAATTCAGCAGAGGACATCCATTTCGGTGTAATATTTACTATCTAAACAAAGAAATCCTCTACCTCACTGGCACACAGCAGAAGTACAGGATTAAAAGCAAGGGCTTTAGAGCGATCCTGGGCCAACTGCTTAGCCTACCTGTGCCTTAGTAGCCTTACGACGCAAAATGGGGATAGCAATGCCTACTTCACAGGGTTACAGTGAGGACTGGATGACAATAGCAGCCAAAGTCCCTTTAATTTCATTAAAAATTAGAAGTATATATATATATATATATCTGAAATGCTTGGAACAGCTCCTGGCACACAAGAATTTTCAATAAATACTGGGTATGATATTTTTATTTCTGTCCCTATTTAGAGCACATGACCACTGGCGTTCCAAGTTCCAGTCTATTTGGAAATTAGGCCAGAGTCCCGATTAAGGATACTACTCAAGAATTCACCGGTGGCAGAGAGCAACTTCCTACTCCAGCAGGGGAAAAATTAAAAGAAAAGAAGAAAAAAAAAAAAGACTTGCTCCAAGGTCCCTGGCGAGTAACTTCCCCTATCTGCTCTCAGGCTCTTTGAGAGATGGCTTGGAGCATTAGAGTCACTGGGGACACAGGAAAAAAAAACAATTCAGAGAACTGGCGGGTCTCCTCCTGGGCTGTCCTCACATGGCAAGAAGAAATGTTCAGAAATTTGCTTATTTTCCTCTTGGGTCCACTTGTTTTCCCTCAACAGTTTTGGAAGACAGAAGACTGCCCTACCAATTTTTCCAGCCTTCAATTCCCCAGCCGCCTCCATCACTCGACGGTTTCTACTCCTGGCCTCGGTCATTCCCAAGGTCACACACCCTCGACTGAGGGCGGTCCTTTCCTCGTTCTGCCCACGACCCTCCAAGCCCCGCCCCGCCCGCCGAGACCCCCCCACTAAAGCCGGTCGCAGATCTCCAGCAGGTGCCCCGAGCCCCACACCTGGAGCATCTCTTGACAGAAGGAGCGCACGGAGCTCAGAGAGGCGAGGTCCAGCTCTTTGACGACGAGCTCGCCGGCCCCGCCGGAGTTGGGCCCCGAGTCGGGGCCTCCAGCCGGGCAGACCTCACGGCGGAGCTGACCCGCCGCTTCCTCGGCGCGCTCGCGGTCCCGGCAGCCCATGATCACTCGAGCCCCCAGGCGCAACAGCTCGGCCGCGGTGGCGCGGCCCAGGCCACTGTTCGCCCCCGTGATCAGCACGGTCTTCCCGCGCATGAGGCCGGAGTCCCAGCCTTGGTGCAGTCGCTGGACGTTGGACCCCATAAACCGCCGGGCGGCTAGCCACAGGACCCCACCTAGTGCGGCCAGTATCGCTGCCGCGGTAGCCACTGCCATAGCCGCCGGGGCCGAGGGCCCACCGGCCCCTGCGCGGGACTTCCGGGGTCGCGGCGTGCCTGGTCCAAAGCCGGCCACCTGTACGCAAAGGACACTGGGGCACGCGGCTTGTCGTCTCCTGACGGCGACGTGGGGCATGCTGGGACTTGTAGTCTCCTTTCCGAGGGCACCTGATTTGTTAAGAGAGTCCGGCGTTTGTGGTGCCTCGGTGGAATGGGCTCCCATCGCAAGAGGAGGGTGACCGCAGGTCCTTAGATTTTCAGGCTCCTGAGGTCACTGCCCACGGAAATCCCAGAGTGGTGGTGGCCTTGCCTGTGGGAATGCCTCATGACTACTTTGAAGTTACGAATCTCTTTATAGGCTGCTTTACAAATCCCACAATTCAGGGCTAGTTTACTGTGTTTTCCGTTTAGGACACCTGAGATTTGTTAACCCTCAGTTCAGTTTACCTTCATTCTGTGGAGGATGGTCCCTGTGGAACTGAAGTCTGAGGAAACGCTACCCCTCCCCCGCCCCCCCCCCCCCCCCCATAGCTGATTCTAAGAACTTAAGCAGCGTGAATCAGTTAGAAACAGATCTGCGGTTCTCAGACTTCGGCGTTGCATCGGAATCACCCGCAGGACATGTAAAAACAGAAATTTCAGGGTCCAGGCACTAGCTTTTCGAATTTATTATAAGCCAAGATGGAACCTGAGACTGCATTTCTAACAGGTTCCCAGGTGATCTGATGCGGCTGATCTGGGGACTACGATCTGGAAACGGAAGACTGTTGTAGCACTGACCACTGTATAAAAAGTCATCCTCAGATGGTCTTATGGTACACTGACAGAGATACACTGTGGAAAGCTTGGACTCACCGTACATATAGACTTACAGACAGGCTCATTCACAAGTGTCTTCTTTCCTGTTTGCAGAGGATATTAAATGTAACGAGGAAGTGAAAGTGTTTTTTACATTGTAAAATGCTTCAAAATGAGGGAGCTGGGGGTGGCTATAGCCACAGAGATACATCTTTAAGCTGCAAACTTCAAACTTTAGGCCGAGTTACTCTTAAGCTGGAATACATTTAGCTACTCACCCATCTAGTGTGTACCAGGCCCAGTGCCCTGTGAGAGTCACAAGGAAATAGGGTACTATTTCTACCCTCAGGGTGTCTACTGTCTGGTACAGAGACCTCCCTGCCTGCCCCCATTCTAGACTCTTCAAGACAAAAGAAGAGACACGCAACTTTTATAATTTAAACTAAACTCCACAGATGATTTTGATAATCCCTCCTCCACTTCCTTATATTTGGGAAGGATATAACATGCAACCAAAGGCATAATATTAATACAAAGAGCAAACGGGTAGGATGCTGGAAGGTAGTTTCTTATGAATGCTGAGAATGGAGCTCAGAGATGGGACGAGCACTGGGAACAAAAGTCTTGAAACGGTGGCCTTTATTCCACCCTACCTGTAACTTGAAGCTGCCTCTCCAACTCACTGAGCCAGGAGCACATGTTTCCTCTCTCTCTTCCTTTCTCTCTTCCCACATCTTCCCATCCTTCAAAGCCCACCTTCCTTTCCTGATAAGTTCCAGCCCATAGAGATCTCTGCCTCAACCTCATGTGCGATTCTCAGTTGGCACTGAAGACTATTAACCCTCCGGTGTTGGGTATTTGAACTTGTATATTTGATTTTTTCTAAAGGATTGTTAAATAGGATGGGATGGGATAATATCTGAGTCTGTCTTGTGGCCTTATTCTTGGGGAGTGCATAGAAAACAGTAGGGACTCAGAAACCATAAAGACATATTATTTTAGACTGGCTTACATCCACTTAGGAAGCAGATCAAAAAATGTGTGTCAGCAGCGGTCTGGTTTACTAGAACTAGGGATGGAATATGTGGGTGGGGTAGAGAAGAAATGGAGTAGAAGGAGCAAGAGAGGATATGAGGAAGAGAAATAGCATATAGCTTTTGAAATGAGATCTGAATTTGAATCTTAGTCCTACCATTTATTACCTGCACATCCCTGGTCAAACTATTTAATCTTTTTGAGTGTTAGGTTCTTCATTCACTAAAAAAAAAAAAAGGAAGGTAATAATGTCATGAAGTTTGCTTTGATGAAAAATAAGGTAACCATTGAAAATAACCAGCTCATTGTTTCTAACATTGTAGTAGATTATGATTACTAACCAATCAATGCTTTTTTTTTTTTTGCTAAATGAAAATCACAACAGAGTGACAACAATGAAGCTAGGAAACTACACTTACTGTCACATTTTGAAGTGGTAGCCAAGACTTCTTTCCTTATACAAACATTGGACCTATCTGCCAGAACCAAAGCCAGAGACTTCAAATATGAAGCCATGTAGTCCAGAGGCAATGAACCCACCAAATAAACTTCAAAGAACTCTTCTAGGATGCTCTGTATGGAACTCATCTTAGATGAAAGTAACTTGTATGAATAACTAGCTTCTTTATTTCTGAATGAGCAAATCAAAATTGGTATACTCAGGCAGGTAGAGCGGTATTTTCATTTTTGCATTGATAGAAAGGAAGGACAACAGACTAAAAAGCTCCAGTTTTCAAGAGTGTACTTAACCCCTCTTTCCACTTGTGAAGACCCACTATTCTATCACAATGATGGGTAATGATTCATTCTAGTTACCAACATCCAAAAATGAGCAATGCTTTGTAAAACTAAGTAGGCTTCTGACATAGCCCTTTTGCAAGTTCTAAACTTACTCTAGAGAGTCATCGCTATGACTTACACACAAAGGTAGTTGCCATGTTATCAACAGCATTGACAGTGCGAACTGAAGTAGCTTGAAGGTGACTTGCTAGTTCAAAATGTTTTTAAAAACTCAAGAGAAAACCTTTCCAAATGAACAAAGGTGTGAGGTCTGGTCTACTCAAATACCTAATTACCCTAGGGATCCACAGGTGATTCCATAATATCAGACTCGATGCTTTATTTCTCCTCCCATCCCTAAGTGAACCTAATTGTTCACTTCTGACTAATTCCATAAGGTACATGAGCTGTGGTGGTGCCGAATTTCTGTGCCCCTTCAACGTGGAACATATGATCATCAAAGAAGAGATGGGGCCTTATCTTCGCCAAAATGGGACCTTTGGGGGCTCCAGCAAGGAAAAGAGCCTCATCTATCTCTAGACCCCAGCGGCGAAGGGTTTTCAGCACACGGGCGCCTGAACTGGCTGCACTTCTGGCTGTGACCAGGTAGGTCCGGATAGGGCAACATAACCGTTCATCTTTGGCATAAAACTTCTTTTGCAGTCTGCCTAAATCTTCCATAAAGCCTTTCAAGGGACCCTGCAAAAGGAACATATGTCACAGCTGTCATCCAGGGAGCAAAATGAAGTGAATGCTACAAAAGCAGATGTTTATAAGAAACTTGTAATACTGCATGAAGCATGCAGTATAGACCAGTAATACAATGCTGAAACTCCTTCATTTATTGTGATTATATTTCCTTCTGTGGAACCATCCTTGCATTCTTAGAATACAAAATAGAATGGCCATATAATTTATCATTTGAACACACATATTTTAAGAGTGAAAGAAGCTTCTATAAAAGTTGAACCAGGGCAACAGACATAAACTATCCATGGGAAAATGAGGTTACTCTAAAGTTTAGCTTAGAACTGAACCAAAAGCACTACTTTTTAAATTTGTTTTTGTTGAATTGTACATTTTAATATTTATATAAAGTGTACTTTTCTATCTTGTCCAATTTCTTCGTGGTTTGAATCCAATCTTGTCTATATTTACTGTACTTTATATATACCCAACTTCACACTTACTTTTATCTTCAGCCTTTCTGAACACTTTTAGCTGTACCTATAGCACAGGACAGAGAATTGGATTTTGCGATGTGATACAATCAGAAAGTCTTAATTTTTAAAACAAAACTTGAGTTTATAGTATTGGTGAAATTAAAATGTATGACAGTATCACAAAACATGGGAGGGAGGAATTAAGAGTATACTAATATAAGATTCTTCCATTATACATGATGTGGCATAATATTATTTAAAAGTAGACTGTGATTAATTAAGGTTGTATATTATATATCTGATGGTAACCACTGTAAAATCTAACACGAGTAATAAATCATTAATGGCGATGAAATTTTAGGAATCCTAAAAACATACAATATATACAACAAGTGCTAGGTCACTTCAGCCGTGTCTGACTCTTTGTGACCCCATGGACCACAGCCCTCCCTGTCCGTGGGATTCTCCATGCAAGAATACTGGCGTGGGTTGCCATTTCCTCCTCCAGGGGATTGTCCCAACCCAGGGATTGAACCTGTGTCTCTTATATATCCTGCATTGGCAGGCAGATTCTTTACCACTGGTGCCACCTGGGAAGTCCCCATGTACAGTAAGTTAAAAAGCAAAAATAATAAAAGAAAATAAACTAAAGTTAACCAAAGATGAAACAAATAAAAAAAATAAGAAGATGGTAGATTTTAGTCCAAGGCTTCTCTGGTGGCTCAGATGGTGAAGAATTCACCTACAGTGCAGGAGACCCAGGTTTGATCCCTGAATCAGGGAGATTCCCCGAAGAAGGAAATGGCAACCCACTCCAGTATTCTTGCTTGGGAAATCTCATGAACAGAGAGACCGGCAGACTACAGTCCATGGGGTCTCAGAGTTGGGCACGACTGAGCGACTTAACAACAGCAACAAATAAGTTTTTGCTAATTGAAGGACACTAAACAATATTTAAAGGATTAAAAACAAGCACAGACTGAGAGAAAATATGTGCAAAGAAATATATGATAAAGGACTTGTACCCAGAATATATAAAGAACTCTCAGATCTTGAAAATAAAATGAAAAACAGCCCAATTCACATGAGCAAGAGATTGCCAAAGAATACATATAATGGCAAATAGGCACTTAATAAAATGTTCAATATCATTTGTCATTAGGATAATACAAATTAAAATCACAATGAGGTACTATTATGTAACCCCAAACAGCCTAAAACAAACAGATGAAAAGCAACTGACATCACCAAATACTGGCAAGGATGCTGAGTAAAAGATCCCTCATGGAAATGCAAAGTGGCATGACCACTTTGGAAAACAGTTTCCTTAAAGTTAAACATATATTTATCCTGTGACCTAGAAATTTTACTCCAAGGTATTTACCTATGAGAAATGAGATTTTATGTTACACAGAATCCTGCGTGAAAATGCTTAAAGTAGCTTTATTTATAAATGTCCCAAACTGGAAATGACCTAAATATTCTCCAGTAGGTAAACTGCTATAAACATGTAGTACATCCATAGAACAGGCTGCTGCTGCTGCTGCTAAGTCACTTCAGTTGTATCAGACTCTGTGTAACCCCATAGACTGGGGGGATTCTCCAGGCAAGAACACTGGAGTGGATTGCCATTTCCTTCTCCAATGCAGGAAAGTGAAAAGTGAAAGTGAAATCGCACAGTCGTGTCCGACTCTTAGTGACCCCATGGACTGCAGCCTACCAGGCTCCTCCGTCCATGGGATTTTCCAGGCAAGAGTGCTGGAGTGGGGTGCCATTGCCTTTTCATTAGAACAGGCTACAACTCAGCATAAAAAGGAATGCACTACTGATACACAAATGACACAAATAAATCTCAAATGCATCATTTGAAGTAAAATAAGTCAAATTCAAAAGACTTTGGGGTTTCATTTATATGATACCTGAAGAGGCAAAACATTAGCGACAGAAATCAGATTAGTGGTTAACAGATCCTAGAGAGAGGGAGTACAATGACTACAAAGAAACACAAGTGACTTTTGTTAGTATTTTGAGTTTGATCATGGTTTCATGTCTGTACACGTATGTTTGTCAAAACTCTCAGAACCATGCACTAAAAATGATGAACTATACTATATATGAAGTACACCTCAACAATTCTGATTAAAACACACACAGACACACACACACCCGTGCACACACACATACACACACATCTACATGGAGATCACTATTCTAGAATGGTGAAATGAGACAGATCAAATCGGGAGACAATGAGAGTGGATAAATTAATCCTGTCCAGCTGTCCCATTTGCTGGTGACCCTCAGATCTCCTCCATTTGAGACAATTGGACATTGTTATGACCAAACCACAAGCCTCATGGTCAACATAATTGAAAGTCATGGTTAGGAATCATACCTCATAACTTCTTTCCCATCACTGGAAACATCTGGCAAAGTCTGGTCTTTATAGAAGAGCTACCCTTTCTATGTGAAAAGTAGCATATTTTTCCACCGTCAGAAGGACCACATTATGGAAACAAGTATGCTTAATAATAATAAAATTCATTGGGTATTTTTGCAATAATTAGTGTTGAGCTTCACAATTGTTTAATGGGAAAAAATGATTTAAAATATGGAAAAAAGGAACTGATAAGTACAGAATCTAAATGATTCTGTACAGATAAGTACAGAATCTCATTTCCCTGAGATGAGGAAAAATGGTGTTTTAAGATTATCTTGAAATAATTATTTTCAGAATTTTTAAATGCTAGTTTTTAGAGATCTTGTATATTTTAATAATATTTAAAGGCTAATATACAACTGACTTTAAATTTCAGCAAAGCAGGCATGTCAACTATAACACAGGGTATTCTTCTTATTAGTAAACTTTGTTAACACTGAACAACTTCTTGACATGGGCTCAAGACTTCTAAACAAGGTATTTAGGAAGGGGCTATGGAGTTAAACACACACACGAACACATAGAATTTAAATATCACTTGCTGTAATGTGCAGTAAGTTAGTAAAACATTCAGCTTTCAACTAGTCTCTTCATAGTTTTATAAATGTAATAAAATTAACAATATTTAAGTACATCTTAAGTTCAAGAAGAGCTGAGAAAAAAAAATGCCAATTAAAAGCAGGTCTTGGTAAGATTCACAGATTAAACCTGACTGATCTATTGTTTCCGGTTCAGTTTGGAGAAAATTTTAATATTCAGATCTCCTTTGGTTCAGAAGTTGTAGGTTTTGTTTATTTCATACCACAACTTTAACACTTCAGTTCATGGATTGATTTCCTCAAATCTAAAATTTTAATTTCAGTTTGATTTATTGTTCATAGTTTGCACTTGTTTGAGGCTCATTATTTGACTTGATTCAAACTCTCAGTTTTGCAGATTTTTCTCAATCATGTGATGCCTTCATGGAGTTTGAGGTCATGGATGAGAGGTTCAACAAGTTTACTGACTGGCTGGAAATGATCTTACTATTTTGAGAACTTATTATGTAGAATTGGCCAATTGGTAAGCTGTATTACCTCTCTTTATTTATAATTTGGAGGAGATGAACTCTTTATCATGAGGAGAGGATAGAAACATTTCCAGAAGGATAGATAAAAGAACACTAAAATTAAAAAAAAAAAGTTGGCAGCAGATGCTTTAAAATGAGGAGTTCATGAAAGAAAGAGAGAAAGCTACAAAGGATAAGAAGTGAGAAGTACCTAAAAAAATTTAAAAGTCATCACAGTGAAGAAGTAATTATATTTATATGTTGGAAAATAAGTAGATCAAAATTAAGTAGCTTTCATTGAACCTACCTGGCCAAGAGGCTTATTGTCTGCTAGGGCTTCATGTTGGAAGCATTTGTCCAGCCCGTGATCCTTGGTACCATGTTCAGGCTCCTCAGAAAAGAGGACAGCGTCCCCATCAAAGACCACACGGAGCTGTGTGTCACAGTAAGCCGTGTCCTTGGCGCCATCAAACATTGTTGCAGAGGCGATCCCTGGCAGACCATTGGAATTAATAAATAGTCTTCTTAGGACCATGAGTTTTAGTATCTACTATTAAAAAAAAAGAGAAACAAAAACAAAAAACAGTCCTCCCAGACCTTGCATTTCCTCTCTGGCTATTACCTGACAGCTCAACTCCTCTTCACAACCACACATCTCAAACGAGCTGTCTTTGAACTGCCTCTGTTGCTATAAGGGATGGGAGAGTGTAAAATGGGTGTAGGACAATCACTGAAGATGTTCACCTCAAGGAAGGTCAAAGCTCTAAAAGACAAACTTAAGGGCTGCCACTTGTGGAAACATCTTAGCAGAAAATCCAATGACAATGACATAAACAGCATAATCATTGAAGCCCAATGAAACACTAGTGAAACTTCTTTATTCATGAGAAAGAAAAAAACAAGGAGTACCTTCTTGTATTGCTTCCAGTACTTTTTCAGAATCCGCAGAAACATACAAGTTGGTAAGATATGCCTTCAAATAGCCAATGGGGCTTTTTCCTCCAGTCAGACAGAAGCGGTCAATTAGTAATCCTATTATCAGGCAAGAAAGACTTTGTTATGGCAGAGACTAAAGACAGCATGCTTACTGGAAATGCAAATGAAAGCTGCCTTCAGAATAACTGAGTGCCTAAAGAAATTTTAGAATTACCTTCATAGCACCAATATTGAAAAATCTCTCAGCTATTTTATATAATAGTAGGTATGTCTGGTGCATGATAATTTATGAAGTATATCCAGATAGGCCATGCCAGTTTACTCTCACAATGGCTGTTATGGCAGGCATTATCATCCTCATTATAGAAAAGGAGGCTGAGCCATAAATACTTGTTTAAGCCCACTAGATAACACTGACTCTTGCTTAGGCTAGAACAGTGCACCTTTACAATACAATATAATAGCAAGTAGTGGTAGGATTTAAACTATTTCCCTACAACTGAAAAACAAAAGGTCTGAAATTGTTTCTCTTGACTTGAAATTTTAAATGAGGTCATTATCAGACTAAAAATTAATAGACCATTAAATGCCTTCTGAATCAACAACAGTTTTTTAAAAAACATTAGATGCTGGTGAGAAGTCTGTAAAATAGGCACTTACATACACTATGGATGAAAGTATGAATTGGTACAGACTGTCTAGAAAGTAATTTTATATTTAGTGATAAAAACATTTTTAAATTAAATTTATTTACTTTTAATTGAAGGATAACCATTTTACCAAATTTAAATCTTATTTTTACTTGGGCGTACCCATAAGACTGGATATGTCACTTAGCAAATATGCTAAAGGTCTCCACAAAAGTCAGGTAAATTCATAAGAGGAAGAATGGGGACCTCCCTTGAAAGTCTCTAACACACTGATGGAGATGTCATGAAGAGACTAGTGTCAAACAAATTTTCCCTGTAAAGGAATAAAGACAGTTTTGCTGGCATGGGTATGGATTTGATGTATGGGGCAAGCAGCCGGGGAGAGTCAGATGTTAAGAGTGGAAAGGAAAGGTAACAACCTTAAAACCTTTAACATGCATCTGTGGTGAGCAAGAAGTCTGATCACACAGAGAAAGCCCTAGGTTGACGGCTCCTTGAAGTCAAGTTCAGAAGTGAAAAACATAAAACAGAGAAATATATTGCAGGACCTGGGATTAAGACTTTGAAATTCACACTTGACAAGTTAAGTCCAGAGCTTTGGGCCCGACTCTGGGCTGAAGTTAAAAATGAACATGGCCTCTCTTGTTCTGACATAGGCAAATAAACATTCTCACGCAGAAGGGGGTGTCAGTATCAAAGAGGCTGCATTAGTTAGGCCATGGCGAGCAAAATAACATGGCTTCTCTCTTCCAGAGCAGCAAGCTGTTCCTCCACACGGTATTTATTTTACTTACCATAGTGATTGACGCTGTTTATAAGCCGCACTCCCACTTGGGCATGGTTATTAGTCATCAGTACAATATCAAATAAGTCCTGTTCGTCAGGATACAGCTCACGGAGTCTACAGTTGACATACTGCAGTGCCTGCAGGTTACAAACACGAATGTGTGTGAGGAGGGCCAGGCAAGGTGGGCATCGGGGGTCTGGAGGGAACGGATCCCTTAGGTGTCCAATTCAAGCTCCAAAGACTCTTCCCTGAGAGATGTGGCTCCTTTAAGGCAGGGTTATCCCATTCATTTCAGTATTTTCAGCCTCTCATACAAAGGACCTCAGTGAATGTTTATTGAAAGATGGGTGATGTTTTGGTTTACTAGAATTATTTCTGTGAGGTAGACATAGGATCAGGCTAACCCTTTCAGGGTTTGTCTATTTTTGTTTTTGATTCATAAAACCTGCCTTTTTTGATCATCTGATGATTATTTTTTATTGTGAAACATATAGGCTGTTTCAAGAATTCTCATGTTATCCTTGCACAGAGGCCATGCTAATGGTCTCTGTATTGTTCCAATTTTAGCACAAGTGTGGCCAAAGTGAGCATTTTGTCTATTTTTTAAACATGAGTCTTTAGAATAGCTTTGTGGTTTCCTCCAATGCTTCCACTATGCCCCATAACTACTTTCTACAACTAGTGGAGGTGTCATTTGTTTCTGCCTGGTTATGATGTCATTGCATCATATTTGTATAAGCTGTATAGGGGATCAGAGCTAGAAGTGCTATACATTTCAGTGTACGTTCCAAGATTACTTTCTCTATTAAAATCATGCCCCTAAGTGCCAAGAGCATCTTGACTTTTTTAATGTGCTGTGTTTGGGACAGGAGAAGCTAATGTGAATTTCATCTTATTTGAATGGGGTGTTTCATTTCTACTACTTGGAATTGGAAACTCATTATTGCTTCTGGTTATTGCTCCTTCTGTGGAGGGAATGATCCTTTCTGTTACAAGTCTCAGGATATGGACTCAGAGTTCCAAATCTCGGGCTGCAGTCCCTCCCTCAACAGTGTTGAAGTTTCTTTGAAAATGCAAAGTGACCTAGGGTCAACTCGCAAAGGGCAAGAATGACAAGGGTGGAGTAGGAATGATAAGGAAAACTGGATGAGATCCTAGGGGTTGGCATGGGCCCTTCCCTGCCCTCTAGAGTCCTGGAGGGCCAGAGACGGCTTTGCGGAGTACCTTGACAAAGCGGAAGGCCGGCCCTGGGGTCAAGACGACATTCTCATTGGTAAGCTGATACTCCATGTATTTCTCCAGACCCTCTTCATCATAGATTTTCCTGCTGTCCATCATGTTGAAGAGTGCCCCGGATGACACAGCCACGGTGATGGCATGCTTGGGTTTGGGCTGCAGAGAGGAGCACCAACAGGAGGACAGTCACACAGATACACAGGGGTCAGCAGTAGAGCTCATGCCAGGGTAGGGTGGGAAGCAAATAGGTGGGCCTGGCTTGGAGGACTGGGATGCTGGAGACAGCCAAGAATGGGATCCTAGCGTGTACAGTGCAGAGGGGGAGGTTTAGGGAGGAGAGGCAGTGGCCTGAGTGAGCTTCCCTACACCGTGGGGAGGAGCCAGGCCTCCGGGCTGGGCTGCGTGGGGGTGAAGCCCGGGTACCCAGGGGAGGCGGGCTCTGCTCACCGGCCTGGGGCGCGAGCAGTTGGGTGTCTTCTCGTATAGTGTTCTCACAGACGCCCAGTAGGCCTCGTCCTCGTCCTCCTCTTCCTCTCGTTTCCTGGCCAGGTCGGACACACAGTCGTGGTCCATCTGAGAGGGGTAGAGCATCCTGCGCTGAGTATAGGATTTCCATTCGGACGGAGGCGTGCGCGAGTATTCCCGCTGGTGCATGTCCCTGGAATCGTGCGAGTCCCGGGAGTGGGACATGTCTCGCGTGTCCCGGGACTCTCTCTTATCCCGGCTCTCTCGGATTTCCCGCCCCGAGCTGTGAGACCAGGTGTCAGGATTCTCAGACTTGGTTGTGCGCCGGGACGTGGTCTGCAGCTGGGCCTCCGGGGACATGGGAGACCGTGAGTCGAGTGGCATGTTTTGCGTGGGTGGCGAGGGCTGCGCTGACAGTGGCTTCGGCGAGTCTCGCTGGCTAGGGGAGGTGGATGAAGTCCGGGAGGTCGTGGAGCTATTGGGGAGCTGGAACAAGAAAGTAGGCCTCTGGGTTCCAGGCTTGCTTAGGGTCCCTATACTCCTCTCTGCCCAGCTGGCGTCAAGGAGCTGTCCCTTCTCTCTGTTCCATTCCTAGCTCTTACATGGATGCTGGTTCATCTCGGCTCCTTTTAAATAGGGCTTACTGGTAGTAGTAGTAGTAATTTAGTTGCTAAGTCATGTCTGACTCTTGCGACCCTATGAACTGTAGCCTGCCAGGCTCCTCTAGGGATTCTCCAGGCAAGAATACTGGAGTAGGCTACCATTTCCTTCTCCAGGGGATATTCCCGACCCAGGAATTGAACCCCGGTCTCCTGCATTGCAGGCAGATTCTTTACCAACTGAGCTATGAGGGAAGCCCTTAAATAGGGCTTAAGTGAAAGTGAAAGTGAAGTCGCTCAGTCCTGTCTGACTCTTTGTGACCCCATGGACTGTAGCCTACCAGGCTCCTCCCTCCATGGGATTCTCCGGGCACGAGTACTGGAGTGGGTTGCCATTTCCTTCTCCAGGGGATCTTCCCAACTCAGGGATCGAACCAGGGTCTCCCACATTCCAGGCAGACGCTTTAACCTCTGAGGCACCAGGGAAGCCGTAAATAGGGCTTAGGGGCTCCAAATATTATACATTTCTGTTATGTGAACACAAAGAGCTCTCATTTTCCCCAGCTGCCCTGTCAGCGCCTCTCACTTTCTTTGCTCATTTCCTTTTGTGATAGACAGGGCCGAGGTCCTTTTCCTTGCTCCCACATAGTTGGCACACAGTTTGCAAAGTTCTGTAACTTTGTTCACATACACTTGCTTAGTCAGAGGCCTCCAGGTAGGACAGAGGGCTTGAGTGAGGGACCTTCCTTGCCGCTGTCTCCACCTGTCACCTCCAGTAAACTCAGTGAGCGGCTGGACCGGAAGCCCCCACCATGGAAGGCACTTTATAAAGCTTATATACTTTATGAAGCATCTTGGGGGCATGTGTCTCCACCTTTGCCCCCTGTGGTTAAAGCAGCAAATGCTGGGAGGGTCGGCAAGCTGGAGAATCAAGTGTCTCCCCTTCAGAGTTTCTTGTGCCAGGGAAGTTCGACTGGACAGACTCATTTTCCTAAACTGGAAGCAATCTTTCTAGAGAAAGGACTCTTTCACTAAGGTGTACGAGAGATTGTTAAGCATCCATATATCATTCCAGCTTTTGTGACTATTTCACACGTTTCAAAAGGCATGTTCTTGGTTAAATTATTGAGCCAGTCCTCACAGAGACAGACAGATTGTTTCTCTCAGTGCCTGGGACTGGGTCACCCTCTGCATTCAAAAACTTAATCTCACGACAGACTTTTTCTTTTGTGTGACTAGGCCTAGTTAAGGGCTCACAGTGTCACACAACCTAGTATTCTTCAACAATTTATCTCCTTTGATGACCTTTTCACCCTCTCTTCTGAGTCTTGAGTACTCAATGAATAGTTTTTAAATGTGTGAAGTAAGGAAGGAGAAACCATGGAATTTAATCATTCAGTGAGCCGTTTAGAGACCTAGAGACTCTAGGTTTTGATCTAGTTCTGTGGGCATTACTAATGAGAAATCTTAGGTGGCTCTGTGTTTCAGTTTTCTTACGCTGGGGATTAGTGGGGGTGGTAGTTTGTGATACTAATCACCTGAAAGATATAAAATACACAGAACAGGGCCTGGCACATAGAAAGTATCACTGCACATTGTTGTTATTGTTACTGTTATTCTGCAATGTGCTCTTCCCTTCTGTGCCCATCTCTACCTTAAGACTGGTGTTCTTGCTTCTGGATTCCTCTGCTGATGGAGGTCTGGTGGATGGACTCCGTGATGTTCGAGACCACTGATTTCGCACTACGTACCCTCGAGAGTCTGACTTCGGCAAAGTTAATTCTTGTGATCCCTTTTGAGGAGAGAAGAGACCCAGGAGTGTAATACCCCATCCCCCACCTCCTGTCCTTCCACACATGTGCTGATGAAAATAGGCATGTCAAGCTAAATATGGCAGTGCTCAGTGAGAAGGTCCCTGCCCTCTATAACCTGTAATTCAGCCTTGGCCCTTGTGTGTTTTTCTAGCTCTGATTGAATCCTAACTTCTGTGAGGATCCATGAAGTGGGAATCTACCTGGAAGGGCATCCAAAACCAAGAAGCAAGTCTGATATCTCATGTTTTTTCACCTGTGACTCCTCTTATGCGAAGCTTAGTAGCGTTGAGCATTCTTCCTCCCTTTTCCCCACTTCATTCCTTAAGGATAAGCCTGTTAGCAAATGCTGAAAAGACATCTCCAGCATTTTTGACCAGACTGCAAAGATGAAAGCAGCTGGCATCTGGTCAAGGCTGCACCTGGGCTCCAGGCAGCTGCAGGAGAAGGAATAGCGCCCTCTAGCACTCCCTTTGGGAGGAACAGGATGGAGGAGACCATGGAGAGGCAAGTGGACATTTCTATTCCCATTTCCTTCCCCTCACCCAGATTGCCTGTGGCTCCCCTCCAAAATCAATAGTTTGATCTCTGCTCACCCTGATCACCGTCATCTGCCGGCCCTGCTCCCACAACAGGCACATGTGAATATAAATACGTATTGTGCGGCAGGGGCTAAGAAGTACTTTTCCCTCAGCTGCACAAAGGCAGCGTCTACACGATGGGTGACCCCGCATGGAGCAACATCTCAGCGAGTGATTCGGTATGACTGCACGCCTCATCTGAAAGATTGTGCAGAAAATGGTCAATGTGATGGCCAGACTCCCCTTCCCTCCCTGATTTGAACATAGAACAGTCTCCTCCCTTGGGCTGAGCAGAGGTTTCTATACCACTTGTTCTGCATGAACACTGGGATGTGGACTGGGTTGGGAGGCAGGGACCAGCTAGATTATCCTAGGTTTTTCTTGACCTCTCCACAAGGGCATTAGGTATCCCTTAATACACATCTTGATAGCTTGGTCTTTTCTCCCCAAGCTCCACTGCCCCCTAATATTTTTTGTTATGCTGTCTACTCTTTAATCCTCTCACCAACTCTAAAGAGGTCAGCTCACCTGAGTGGTCAGACGAACTGATTTCTCAGAGTCCTTTCTAGATTTGTCTCCTTCTAGGCTGTCTTTTGAGTACCTCGATCCAGTCTCATTCTTAATATGGAAACAAAGAATGTTTATTAATTTTTTACCTCAGGGACATTAGAAACCTTGGGTATAGGGAATGAAAGGATAAATAAGAATTAGAATTTGTCTCCTTGCCATTATCAAAAAATATAAATTTTAGATATTTTTTCCCCAGTTCTAACAAGTGTGAGTAAAAATAATACATATGAGAGAACTATACAAACAAATTTTTAATATAGAAATTTATTGATGTATAGATTTGAGGTGGTGGTAGTTTAGTTGCTAAGTCGTGTCTGACTCTTGTGACCCCATGGACTGTAGCCCACCCGGCTCCTCCATCCATGGGATTTCCCAGGCAAGAATACTGGAGTGGGTTGCCATTTCCTTCTCCAGGGGATCTTCTTGACCCAGAGATTGAACCTGGGTCTCCTGCTTTATAGGCATTCTCCTGCATTTCAGATGGATTCTTTACCAACTGAGCCACCAAGAAAGTCCAATAGATTTCGAGACATGAGGTGTTGATCATTTGAGAAATGATAACAGGGGAAATGCTTTGGGAGAATTTCCCAGAGGTCAGTAGCACTTGGAATTAAATGTGGAGTTGCTCACACAGAACATTTTTTTCCCTATTATTCAGAAGGTTGCTGCTTATGGAACTTTTTCATTTGCCAGATAGAATTGAAACTTCTTTTTTTTTTTTCCATAAACCAATTTTCTGTAGATCTGAGCCTCATCAATAATAGATTTTTAAAATCAGAGACCTTAATCCTGTAGAAATCAATCAACAGGCATGTATTTTATCCATATCATCTAACTATTCATAGCATCAAGAGTGAAAAGAGGTTTCTTATCAATAAACTAATAGGGAAGTCCATGCAGGGAAACATAAGAAGATAACTTATTTCATGGACATCTATTCAATTTTGTTTTTCATTTTCAATTGCAGGAAATACTATTTTACTGGACCAGTATTTCTATTGCTTCCTGCCAATTCAGTAACTATAATGCAATCAAGATTAATATTATTTATCTGTTTAAGGATCTCAACTTCCAGCATAATTGAGGTGTTCAAGGGCAGTCCTTCAGTCTCTTTATGCTCTGTGTCTTGCACCCATGAAAAATCTCAAGTTGAGTGATAGAGTCTGTGTCTGAAGAGAATGGCATAGCTGTGCAGTCCTAGAACTAATCCTAAAATCTTTTTGTCACCATGCCCCTAAACACACCACATACCACCACCACCACCACCACCACAAAATCCTGTCACTTCTAACTCCAAAAGATATTTTAATCCAGTCCCTCTTCTCCATTCCTTTTACCATTGCCTTGTTCTAGGCCTTTAGATCATTATGGACATGTAATCTTAAAAATACAGCTTTTAACCAGATTTTATGGCCTCACATCCTCTCAACTTCTAGGTCTATCTACTCAATTTATTTATGATATTTATAAAATATAAATCTACTGATGCTTTATTTTCAGGTGCACTCTTCGTTTGCTTGGTTAGAGAGACAAGAGACTCATACTGTATCCTGTCTACCTCTAACTTGTATACCTTCCACTCTACATTTCTATCTCTGTTCTATTTATGCCAAATGACTTGTATTTGCCTGTATACCACCCTTATTTTCTTAAAACCTACTTTTCCCTTCAGTGTTCCTCAAAGCCAAGCTCAGCATGACCTGGGAGAAGTTCCCAGTGTTAAACATTCCTCTGTGTTGCCTGTGTCTTTTGTACATACTTTTACTGAGCACCAAACTGTACTTTGTTTATGTATTCTCTTTCCTACTAGGCTGTGCATTCTTCAAAGATAGCAACTGTGTTTCACCTCTTACAACTAGCATATGAGCATCTGCTCAATGAATGCTGATTATTGGATGGACTTATACCACATGCTTTCATCTCCTTTTCCTCCACTCTCCATGTTCTTTACCTCTCCTTTTGTCTCTATGTGTGGTCATCCTCTGAAATTTGATTGCTGCAAAGCATTGCCCCAGAGCAAATGATGGGCTGATATCTATGTTTCCTCAGTTCTTTGGCAAGATTCTAGGACATTCAATTCACTGACCTTCTTTTTCTGTTTCAGAGATGTTTGACTCATTTCTCTAACTACTGATATTCTTTTGTTGTTACTTAGGTTTTCTTCTCCCCAGCTCCATTTCCTGTTGTTTCTGTTGCTCAGTTTAGGTTTGCATTTAGAATGTCAAATTTATGACATCACATGTGATTCTATAGTAACCAGCTGACTCTGCGAATATGTGACTTTTTAAAAAAGGAAATAGTATTTATTTGAGTGTATCCATTCATAACCGTTGTCTGGGTTTTTGTGAATCAATGTCTAAGCAATGTTCAAATGTTTAATATGGAGCATAATCAGCATTACTGTTTCCTTCTTTTTAAATCTGTCTAATATTTCTAAGTTACTCATCCTATCAATCCCATTTGTGGCTGTACATTTTATGGTACTGCCAAAATCAATGGCAGACTCATTTGTGGGCTTGATCATTTCTTAGTGTTTATCCTGATAGACTTCGGAGAACTTTCTGAAAATCTGGAGACTATTTTTAACAGCTGAGACCTGTTCTAGGCTTGAGTGTAGCTTCAGTGTTTGGTGTATCTTTCACAATGGCAAGGCCACGTCCATTCATTAAGTTGAAGTACTTAATGTGGATAGACATAGTGCAGCAGAATGACACTTGCACTGTTTTGCCTGGTGTTTGCCCCATCCCAAAACATCTAAACACATATCTGTCCCTCTTGTGTACACACAGAGAACATTTTGTAAAGTCCAGTCCCTGACTCTGGTGTATAAGGTCCAATAATGTTCTTCACTTATGGTTCTGTTTTTAGGTCAGAGACATGTGCCATGCCAATCTGATTTTGTCAAGCCATCATAGACTGAGACAGGAGAAGTTTTGACAGCTTTAATCAAAGTTCTCCAGAGGTCTTCTAGATAGCTGGTTATGTACACTCCAGGTTAGACTGCCTGGTTTTGCATCCTTAAATCCAGTCCCCTCCCAGCCCCCATATCTCACTGTGATCTCTGGCAAGTTGTTTAATTGGCCTAAATCTCAGTGTCCTCACTTAGAAAATGAAGATAATGATGGTATCAGCACCAAATGGCAGTTGTGATAGTTGAAATATTATAAAGTTTTGAAGACAGTGACATGCGTTAGCAGTGGACACTGTCCATGTCACAAAATGGATAGCTTGGGGCATGTTGGGCCTCATATTAGTCAACATAGCTGCACCTTTCCGGAGACAACAGAATGGCTTATGGAAGGAAAGAAAAGTTTGGTTTTCCTGTGTCTCCATCTTCCACTTGAATTGGTTTGCTGCGTCCATTTTCTCCTGCTGTGTAACACATCACCATTTATTTATCAGCTTAAACAAGTCTGTTTATTATCTCATAGTTCCTCAAGCTAGAAGTCTAAGTGGGCTTAACTGAGTTCTCTGCTCAGGATCACCTAAGGCTGAAACCAAGGTGTACGTCAGGATGGGTTGGAAGCTCTGAGGAAGAATCTGCTTCCAAGTCGGTTCATGTTTGAGGAATCCAGTTTCCTGCAGCTGTAGGACCAAAGTCCAAGTTGCTGGGTGTTGGCCAGGGTTTACTCTCAGCTCCCAGAGGCCGTTCCCAGGTCCTTGCCCCAAGCCCTCCCTCTCATTAATGGGGAACCTCCCTCATGTTGAATTCCTCTCTTGTCTTGAATCTCTCTGCCTTTCTGTTAAGAGACAGAGACAATGCTTTGTTCTTAAAGAAATCAAATTATTAGGTTATGCCCACTTGGAAAAATCTCCTTTTAATGTAACCAAGTCAGCTGATGAGTAAGCTAAATGATAGCTACAAAATCTCTTTGTAGAACATATCATGGAGGTTATGTCCCACTGTATACAGGGGAAGGAATCATTTAAGGATAAGGGTCTTTTGTGGGGCCATCATCTTAAAATTGTGTCCACCACATTCATTTAACTTACTTTACCTTAGTGACCTGTCAAAACAGGAGCTAAAAGAGTAAAACCCAGGCTTGCAAATTATTGACCACCATCTTCTACCTCAAGGTATATAGGCTAACTAGGACTTCTTTAGACACTTGATTTAAATACATTTTCTATTTTTTGAAAGTATGGGCTGGGAAAGTTAATAAATGGAGAGGTGTCTGAGCTTATTCTTAAGTCTCTTGGATTCAAGTGTTTGGATATTTTGGAGGAGTGATGAACGTATCCCTTCAACAACCGGTGACTGTTGAAGCAGTCATGGAACAGACCTGGGAGCACCTTGACACCTATTGAGTGTTGTTTAGTTGCTTAGTCATGTCCTACTCTTTGTGACCCTATAGACTGTAGCCCACCAGGCTCCTCTCTCCATAGGGTTTCCCAAGCAAGAAAGAATACCACGGGTTGTGATATCCTCCTCCAGGGAAACTTCCGAACCCAAGGACTGAACCTGCATCTCCTGCATTGGGAGGTGGCTTCTTTACCACTGAGCCACTAGGGAAGTTCAATGATCTTTTCTTTTTTTTCCTAAAAATAAACTCATCAGCGGCCACAGGACTGGAAAAGGTCAGTTTTCATTCCAATCCAAAAGAAAGGCATTGCCAAAGAATGCTCAAACTACTGCACAGTTGCACTCATCTCATGTGCTAGTAAAGTAATGCTCAAAATTCTCCAAGCCAGGCTTCAGCAGTATGTGAACCGTGAACTTCCAGGTGTTCAAGCTGGTTTTAGAAAGGGAGGAGGAACCAGAGATCAAATTGCCAACATCTGCTAGATCATCGAAAAAGCAAGAGAGTTCCAGAAAAACATCTATTTCTGCTTTCTTGACTATGCCAAAGACTTTGACTGTATGGATCACAATAAACTGTGGAAAATTCTGAAAGAGATGGGAATACCAGACCACCTGACCTGCCTCTTGAGAAACCTGTATGCAGGTCAGGAAGCAGCAGTTAGAACTGGACATGGAACAACAGACTGGTTCCAAATAGGAAAAGGAGTATATCAAGCCTGTATATTGTCACCCTGCTTATTTAACTGTATGCAGAGTACATCATGAGAAGCACTGGGCTGGAGGAAGCACAAGCTGGGATCAAGATTGCCAGGAGAAAAATCAACAACCTCAGATATGCAGATGACACCACCCTTATGGCAGAAAGTGAAGAAGAACTAAAGAGCCTCTTGATGAAAGTGAAAGAGGAGAGTGAAAAATTTGGCTTAAAGCTCAACATTCAGGAAACTAAGATCATGGCATCTGATCCCATCACTTCATGGCAAATAGATGGGGAAACAGTGGAAACAGTGGCTGACTTTATTTTTCTGGTCTCCAGAATCACTGCAGATGGTTACTTCAGCCTTGAAATTAAAAGACACTTAACCCTTGGAAGGAAAGTTATCGCCAAACTAGATAGCATATTAAAAAGCAGAGACATTACTTTGCCAACAAAGGTCCGTCTAGTCAATTTTTTCCAGTGGTTATGTGTGGATGTGAGAGTTGGACTATAAAGAAAGCTGAGCACCGAACAATTGATGTTTTTGAACTGTGGTGTTGGAGAAGACTCTTGAGAGTCCCTTGGACTACAAGGAGATCCAACCAGTCCATCCTAAAGGAGATCAGTCCTGGGTGTTCATTGGAAGCACTGATGTTGAAGCTAAAGCTCCAATCCTTTGGCCACCTGATGTGAAGAGCTGACTCATTTGAGAAGACCCTGATGCTGGGAAAGATTGAGGGCAGGAGGTGAAGGGGATGACAGAGGATGAGATGGTTGGATGGTATCACCAATTCCATGGACATGAGTTTGGATAAACTCTGGGAGTTGGTTATGGACAGGGAGACCTAGCGTGCTGTGGTTCATGGGGTCGCAAAGAGTCAGACACGACTGAGCGACTGAACTGAACTGAAAAATAAATGTGAGGATAAAGTGATTCATCCTTTTCAGCTTATCACTCATAACTGGCCTTCAAAATGTATATCTGAGGTATCAGTGTGGGTTTTTAAGTCATATAAACCTGCATTTAAAAGCCAGCCCTGCTACTAATTGTTTGGTAAACCTCTCAACACTTCAGTAAATCGCTCAATATCTCTGAACCTTTTATTTTATCTCTATAAGATGGGTATTATGATACCTAGTTTGAGGATCTCTTAGGGAGAAAGATACATGTAATGCTTTTAATGTGTTTGGCCTAAAATTCCTGGTTTTGTGGCCACCTGGGTCACACACAGTATTTTGCAGCCCCTCTCATCAGGAAGCGGGGATTTCCCACCCCTTGAATCAGGCCTGTTTGTGACTTGCTTTATCTACGGTGGTGCTGGGAAGTAGCATCGTGTGAGTTCTATAACCTGGGCCCTCAAATGCTTGCAATAGCTCCTTTTTCCCTTCTGAAATGCCTAGGGAAGGGTCTGAAATCTTTATGAATGAAAAAATACGGACCATGAGAGCTCATGATTTTGATGAGGCAACTTTTCCACAGTCACAAAATCGGCAGCAGATAGAATCAAGTTTCTAACTCTATCCTATCTGCTTCTGAAACAACAATGATCGTTTTTTTGTTTAATCACACTTCCTCATCTGGGAGCTTCTCCATTGGCCCATTCTTCTATCCCCAGCTTAACAGCAGGTCAGTTGGAAACCCTATGCAGTTAATTGAATAGTCTAAATAATTAGATCAGACAAGCCTTACAAGTTTCTAAATATGAGCCTTATCCAATCAGACCATGTCTCTATATGTCACAGAGCATGATTAAGGAGAACCTTTTCATATCAATCCTGCTGATGGTGTGTGTGAATAGTATTCTTGTTATGAGCTGATAAGTGGAAATTCCTTGTCCAGAATATTGATTGAAGGGCAGCATGCATATACCAGGCCCTGTCCAGATGGCAGTTATGTGAGTGTTCTGTTTACATGGGTCAAGTCTGAAAAGCACAAGTTCTGGGACGGTTATCCAGAGAAGAGAGTATGCAGCTCAGCATTCACCAGTGAAGAATACATTGTTTTTGAAGTTCACATTTCCTGAGTGTGTCCATCTTGATTATCCATATGACTCAGGAGAAACTGTAAATTTAAGTAGCTAGAGAACTCTGTCTGTGGCACAGGGTAATGTGGTGTGAT